CGTTGTCCAGACTTCTTCGGTCAGTTTCCCTAATGGTTCTTTTCAAATTAGGGAACCTTTTACTTGCGAATCCCGCAACGTAATTTATGCAATTATCTGCAAACGATGCAGCATGGCATACATTGGGGAGACTGGCAGGAAGCTAGCTGATCGTTTCCGGGAACACCTCTCTGATATCGACAAGAAGACACTCAAACCAATCCCTCTTCATTTTAATAGCCCTGACCACAGCGGTAAAGATGACATATCTGTCACAGCATTAAAATCTTGCTCTGGCGATCATACTACCCGCCTCGCTTTGGAAAATCGCCTTATCCACAGCCTTGGCGTTCTTAGTCCAAGAGGTATCAATATCCAACATACCTTCATCTAAATAGTTCTAATCTTATTACATTTTAAATGTTAATTATTTTATTTTATTTCATATTATTACCATATTCTATTTCTTATCAATATCATTTATGTATCATTAACACTTGCATTTCTTTTATTCCCAGTATTGTGACTATATTTTTTAGCCATCGTTTATTTTATTTTATTTCATTTATTCCGCATCACATTTTTTAAACGTCGCTCACGTCACCCCTTAGAGATCTACATACTCTCCATTCCTCTTTTGTGTAGTCCACTTGTGTTTGAAAAAGGCTGCCTGGCCGAAACGTTACGTTGTGTTGTTTTGTGCACGTTTTCCTTTTTCCCATTTTGTTGAGCTTTTTAGTCAAATTTCTCTGGAATTCATTACTTTTTTCCCTCCTCCCCGTGTATTTATAAGCTGTTTACTACCAGCTGATAGAGAATCTATTGTGTCTGCTGTGTTTGTAAAATCCCAACACAGATCATAGACAGCACTGAAAAGTGCTAATAGTCATGTGTCAGAGACTCTTGGCCACACAAGATTTTCCTGAAGAAGATGTCAAAACATTCCACTGATAAGTAGACCTAGGACAAAATGAATAGGGATACTAAACAAAGTCAACGAATTTTACAGACTGTAGATAACCCACTGCTGCTTTTACTGCCATCAAGTTCAGGCTGTGTATAGCACAGGGGAAATAGATGGCAAACTCATTAAGTTGATGAATCCTCTTGAAATCCAGTATATCATCTAGGCATATTTGAGACATGATCGTATGAGTGACTGCGGCAGTTTGACAGTATAATTTCTTTCTCATTAAGACAACCCACAACAGTGTCCGTTAGATTCTTTGCACCATGAGAAAAGATTCGTGATGAACCTTAAGAAACGTTTCACAGGTTCAAAGCCTTGATTGTCAAACAATCAGTCTTCATCGCCCCCAGAGGCACATAAAGCAGAGACAAACTGTCGTCACTTAATTCGACCCTAAGCCATTCTCTCTATTTCCAGTCTTGTCCTTCGCGCCGACTTGAGTTCAGACTCAGAAGTTCGCTTCCAAGTGCCTCTGTCAGTGCCTTTTCCTCGCTGTCCTCGTCGTGTCCATTGCATTGTCTGTCTCAGTCGTCTCTCTTTCTTCATTTTGAGGACGTATCCAATCCACCTCCACCTTCTTTTTTGATTTCGAAATTTATATTTTCTAAGTCTGTATTTTTGTTTTAATCTAGAATAGCTGATTTTATCTTCCCATGTGAACCCCGCCGATCTTCTGAGAAGTCTTCCCTCAAAACCTCTGAGCACGTTATCTATCTTTCTGAACGTTTTCCAAGTTTCTGCTCCATAGAAAAAGAACTGTCATAACGCATGTTTTTTATATCCTAAGTTTAGTTTTGGTGCCATAGGTGTGTGATCTCCAGGCTCTCTGAACTCTTATTGTAAGCAGCATTTACCTCTGCAATTCTCTGCTTGGTTTCAACCACTACATTTCCATCTGTAGAGACATTGCTTGCCAGGTAAGTGAAGTTAGTTACTGTTTCCAAACCTACGTTATCTATTACTATAGGTCTCTCACTTTTGAGGTTTATGTCCAACAGTTTTGTTTCATTGACATTGATACATAAAAAAAAAGTAATGGTAAAGATCCCTTTTTACGCTTTTAGGCGTATCGAGTTTATGGGAAGAGCACCCATATTATTACAGACCATCGGCACTAGGTGGGTAATGTGGTCAGCATCACGCCGGCTGTCTTTACTTGCCTAGGACAGCCATCCTGGTACCCATTTCAGGCTGGGTCGACCCGCTTCGCCCCATACCATGATAAAAATTCACACAGCCAGCAGTGGGTTTCGATCGCGCTACGCTGGAATTACGAGTCGGACTCGCAACGCCTAAGCCACGGACGTCGCCATTGATTCTTAACTGTGTCTGTTTTGCTATTTCTGTTATTCTATTTGCTTTTTGTTGCAGATGTTCTTTACTTTGGCTGACGACACAGATATCATCTGCAAAGTGCAAATGTTCCATGTGTTCAAGAAGGTTCCACTGAAAACCCGTCCGTCCCTGTGCCTGTAGTTCCTTCTTGGTAACATAATACATAAAACATTAATGTATCGTACAGTAAATGTCAGTGGATCTGTATGTGAGATGTTTGGGATAAAATCTACCCTTACCGAATAATACTTTGACTCGTTTACTTCTTCAATAATTGTACAAAGAACTTGTTGTCTCATTATGGTCAGATTAACTCAGTTGCTATAATAACCTAAACAATTGCCATTATGTTCTGACCGGGAGATCTGATTTTCTCCACACACAAAAATGGCAAACTTTTAGAGGACAGAAATCATAGTGTCAACCCTTTATGCCAATATTCCTGTTCTGAGTCATGGTAACAAAGAATCTACACTTTCAGTTCCTTTATATCTTATCAAATATGCTGTCATGCATTCAAATTCCCCATTCTTTCGTACTTCCATTCCTCAAAGAGTGGTATAGCAAAGGGGGGTGGCTCTTTTCTGGACAACAGGTTAAATATAAAAAAGTGCAAACGACTCTGAGATGGTCACGTGAATAACCATTAATAGTTTACAAACTTTTCACTAAGTAGTTCGCGTTTGAACACATTGCTTGTTAAATATTCTGTCTGCATGTTCTTTCTAATTATGGATGCGAGAGTTGGAAAGCAACGGTAGCTCTAGATAACAAATAAAAATAAAATAAACAGAAGACACTTTTGAGAACAACTGTCTTAAAAGAATGCTTAATCTCTACTGGACAGATTTCAGATCAATACGCAAATAATTAGACAAGAGAACAAGTAAGATTATGCATTCAGTTTATAATAAAGTACCGCTGGAATTACAGCAGCCATGCACTCAAAATGGAGAGGACAAGACTTTCCCATCCAGCCCTTATATGGACACCTGAAGGAAAAAGAAAACGAAGAAGACCAAGAGAGACTACGTAGAACCATCATCAGGGAAAGCTCAGCCATGGGCCAGACAAACATCCAAGAACAAAAGCTGGTGACAACGAACCGCCAGACAATGGAAGCTATGCCAGCTGCCCTATGCACTAGGCCCAAAAGAAAAGACAAACTATGTATTCATTACTCCAGCTGTTTTATACACTGCTTGAATTTGAACTTTTTTTTTTTTTTTTTTTAGTTACATATAGTTAATTTAAACGTCAGATATATTTGTATCTATAGCAAATAACGTTACATACACAGATAAGCATCATGCCCCTATACTCGTTGGGTCCCTGGCCAAGTGCCCAGCGGGCCTTTGTGTTGAGGCGGCCCTGCACTTATGACAGGAGGAGTTAAAAAGTCAAAATGAGTGAGACCATACAAGTGAAATATGCTGTAAGTAGACGTGAATAAGTGTCGAAACGGGTACAGACTGGGGGATACACCGAGAAGGGAATGTAATCGCTTATGAAAGGAATGGTTTAATGTTCAGTGAGTAGCCCTGATCCTATTGACAGCATTATCTATTTAACAAAAAGGGACCAGGTCACCATCTTCAGACTCAGAACACAACATACTCCACCTAAACAGAATACAGCCACAACACTCCCCAGAGTGCCAGCTATGTAACTACCCCTACAAAACTGTTGACCATCATCTCTTTAAATGCCTAAAACTCAGCGAGACCAAAAGAATGCTACTCCCTCCGAGACCAGACAGGTGGAACACCTTGTACGGAGGAAAAGAACAGCTTGTGAAAACATGTAAATTCCACTACATGGCATTAGGCCAAAGGGCGAAAGCTCATGCACCGCTGGATCAATAACAACAACAACAACATTGTTCAGCGAGAACATTTGTCGACAACATTGAGTTTCTTGAGATTTAAATTACGTGGTGGATACGCCAGATAACCGGGTTCACTATATTTTGAGTATCAGGGTTAGATTCCGATGACTCATTGGTTGGTAGTTGTACCCCCACCAGGACATTAGTAAAAAAAAAGTAAAGATCCCTTTCACACCTTTAGGCGTATCGGGCATATGGGAATAGCGCCCATATTTTTACAGACCATCAGCACTCGATGGGTAATGTGGTCAGCATTACGCCGGCTGTCTTTACTTTCCCAGGACAGCCCATCCTGGTACCCATTTGAGGCTGGGTCGACCTGCGACGTCCCATACCACGATACAAATCCACGCAGCCCGCAGTGGGTTTCGATCGCAGTACGTTGGATTACGAGTCGGACTCGCAACGCCTTAGCCACGGACGCCGCTACCAGGACATTACACACGCGATAATCACCCGGTGACACAAAGTGCAACCATGCGGATGCTGATCACCCGTAGATCAGCTGTTTGGTCGTATCTATGGCTAGGCCAAATCTATACCCTGGCTATATTCAGGCCCCCGACAGAAGCTAGGTTGGGGCTTTAAATAACATAAAATTGTGCCCAGAGACGGCTTGTATGTTATTTGGATGACTGACAGGCGATTCGGGAAGACGATTATTCTCGTAGCTTCTGAATATTAGTCACGTAACATTCTTAAAGACGATAGTTGGTGCAATTATCAATTGCAGCTAACCTCCATTGTGAAAACTGCACTTTTGTTTCTAAGATAGAAAGACCCCTCAGCCATACTAAAGTAGATAACTCATTTTACACATGGCTTTACCTCCTTTTTTGTTTGTTTCTTACGCTTCTCAGTGGCTCTAGGCGGTTTGGTGCTCTTTGGTTTCGGTTGTTCTGCAGTTTCGAGTTGTTTTACATCGTCGCCGGTTGCCTCGAGAACTGCTTCTTTGGTCACGCCCTCTACTATTACATCTTCTATGGAAGCTATGTCGTGTTCTGCTTCAACAGTGCTACCAGACTGTTTTTCTAGAAATGTATACTCAGAGGACATTGTCGAAGCTTAAATGAAAACAAAAAGCCAGTTGTTTAAATTCATTCTGTGCTAAATTTCTTCGCCTCCTCCTCCTACTGCTGCTGCCGTGGCTTCTTCTTCTTCTTCTTCTTCTTCTTCTTCTTCTTCTTCTTCTTCTTCTTCTTCTTCTTCTTCTTCTTCTTCTTCTTCTTCTTCTTCTTCTTCTTCTTCTTCTTTTTCTTCTTCTTCTGATTGTAAACTCCAGGGGAATGCTATGATCGTTCGTCCATTTCGTTCCAGAACTTGTTTTGCGAGCACTTCGTTTTACAGATCTGACTTACTTGCATGCAGACTGTTGGTTCCTTGCCTCTCTGGCAGATATACGCCGACTTTGAAGGAAACACCATTAATTTTACTGTTACGGTTTGCTTGTTAGGGGCCAGATGGTCTATTCAGTTTCTCCGCCATGGGGCCCTGGAAAAAACACTGAGAAATCCCAAAAAAATAATCATATCTGGAATCTCCTCGTGTGGGTTCCGGGGCCCTGTTATAGACCCACTGCCTACCCAAAAAGCGTGTCATAAGAGTCGACTAATTGGGAGCTTTCTTCAAAGACGGAGTGCATCTACCTAATAGGCAAAGAACCAGCAGTCTGCATACAAATGAGTCAGATCTGTAAAATGGATGCACACCCAAAACTCAGGTTCTGGAACAGGATTGCAGACAGAAGTGGATGAACAATCATAACTTTCCACCAGAGTTTACAGCTGGTGAACGCGAAGAAGAAGAAGATATCTGGAATCGCTTCTAGCATGGAAATTATTTTCTGTATGGACACTTGCTTCCCCCATGCAGCCGATATAATAGTGAATGCAATTTAAAAGGTTACAGTAACCCAGTTTGTCCTTTAGTTGTCATTTAAACCTCCGTAGATCAAAATAAATATGTAATAATGTGGGTATTAATTAGGACTGTACGGAATAGTGATTTTCACTATTCGGCCGAATACGAATAGCTGGACCAACTATTCGGCCGAATACGAATAGTGGATCATCATCATCAGGTGCTTTGCCGACTGGTATGGGCGACTATGCCTCGCCACAATCTGCGATCACCTGCAGCATGTATTAGTTCGTGTACTGACACACCTCCATGCCATGCAACAAGACTGTCAAGAATCTTCTCTTCCTCTATCCCTCCTTCCACATATCTTTCCAGTGGTCACAACATGTTCCATTTTCCATCATCTTATAAAATGGCCAAAAAATGATGACTGTCTCCTGCTGATGTCTGTGAGTAGTTGTCTTCAGGCTCCCGCCTCTATCAAAACCTCTTGGTTGCTTTTTTGTGTGTGTAGCTGTCCAGGGTATTTTAAGCATTGTTATGTAATACCACATCTCTGAGCACCGCTCGCCTCGGTTCGATGTTCGTTCACTAGTATTCTTGAAGTGAGCACTGCCCGACCCAGTTCAATGCTGGTTTACCAGCCCCTTCTTGTAGTTAACACCGCTCGCCCCAGTTTGATGTTCGTTCACTAGTCTTCTTGTAGTGAGCACTGCCCGACCCAGTCCATTGCTGGTTTACCAGCCTTCTTGTAGTAAGCACCGCTCGCCCCAGGTCGATGTTCGTTCACCAGTCTTCTTGAAATAAGCACCGCTCGCCCCAGTTTGATGTTCGTTCACCAGTCTTCATGTAGTGAGCACTGCTCGCTCCAGTGTATTGCTGGGTCACTAGTCTTCTTGTAGTAAACACTGCCGGCCCCAGTTCGATGTAGGTTCACCAGACTTCTTGTAGTGAGCACTGCTTGTCCGAGTTCATTGGCGGTTCACAAGTCTTCTTGTAGTGAGCACTGCTTGCCCCAGTTCATTGCCTGTACACCAGTCTTCTTGCAGTGAGCACTGAACGCCCCAGTTCGATGTTGGTTCACCAGTCTTCTTGTAGTGAGCACCGCTCGCCCCAGTTCGATGTTCGTTCATTAGTCTTCTTGTAGTGAGCACCGCTCGCCTCAGTTCGATGTTCGTTCATTAGTCTTCTTGTAGTGAGGACCGCTCGCCCCAGGTCGATGTTCGTCCACCAGTCTTCTTGTAGTTAGCACTGCTCAACCCAGTTCATTGCTGGTTTACCAGCCTTCTTGTAGTAAGCACCGCTCGCCTCGGTTCGATGCTCGTTCACTATCCAGGGTATTTTAAGCATTGCTCTTTAATACCACATCTCTGAGGCGTCGAGAAATTGTTTGGCCTGCCTACCGATTGTCCAGGACATACAGCCATATGTTAACACTGGATGTATGTAGCAAGCAAGAATTCTTTTTCTAACCTTCAATGACAAAGATATATATTGCATAAGATGTTCTTCATTTAATAAAATGCAGTTTTTGCCTGTCCTATTCTGTTTCTTATTTGATGTTTTCCATGTGCCCAGATACTTAAATTTCCGTACTTGTCCAAAAATAAAACCATTGAATTTTATTACACATTTAGGAGTAATTATTTTCTTTGATGCTACCATTACTTCTGTCTTCCCACTATTCACACTGAGGCCCATTCTTCCACTTTCGTGAATAAAATAGATCTAAAAAGAAAACATTCATAATGTCAAATGTACGCTGACATTTTACTTCACATAATGTAGTACAGAATAGTAAACATTTAAATACATTTCATGTTTTGCATTCATCAGTCAGTCAGTCTGTGGTAACTAATACATAGGAGTGAAAGTATTCTTAGTTTTATAACAAGTAACTAAACTTGTAAATTGTCACTGACAGCTTAATTAATCCACGAAAGCGGCATTAGCTTTCCACACACAAAAAATCGTTCCATGTTGTCATATATATATATATATATATATATATATATATATATATATATATATATATATATATATATATATATATATATCTGCTTACCTGCCTGTCTCTCTGTCTGTCTGCCTGCTTGTCTTTCAGCATATCTCTGTCTGTCTACCTGCCTTCTCTCGATCGCTTTCTCTCGATCTCCAGCTCTTATGGATTATATGGTAATGTAGTGTTGATTTAGCATCCAAGATAGGACTCTTCAAGTCGTAGTTGTAGTCAAACCTTCAGGTGGCAGAGGGCGCACGTTTGTATATCTGTTCTGTATGTGTCTCTCTTTTCTCTCATCAGTTTTCTTTGTTAAAGTTTGAAAAAGTCAGACACACTGTGAATGTGAAATACACTTTGCATTCCTTTTCTGTACAAAAAAACGTTTGTGAGCGCGCCAGCACACACACGCGCGCGCGCCCACACACACAAACACACTTTTTTGCACGATGGTCACTTACCCAAATTTCGCTCAATGTCGCTCTCTGTAGGAGACAGAATCACCTCCACGTATCTGTCGCAAGGCTCCATGCTTGCCAGATCTAGTGGAAGTAGCTTATGAGGATACAAAGCCATAGCTACACGCTTTTTAGGAATCGTAATTGCCAGACAATATCTTCAGCTGCACTGAAGTTACTATCTTAGTCTGCAACACGTAGTATTTGAATCTCTCAGCTTCGAAATTCAATGCGACCAAAGAACCAACCTCTATACTTCTATAGACAAGCGCTTCTTTGTCGCATGTTGTGGTGCACAATTGAACAACTTGTTGCTATTGGAATTTTCTCCAAACCTGCAATACAGTGATTCTATTTATGTACAGGGTGTGCAAGAAAAAAAATTGCAATATCATCATCATCATCATGAACTGCTTTGCAGACTGGCAAGTGATCCCATATATCGGGGCGCTCTAGCTCAGCTGGCTAAACCAACTGCATTGGCCAACGGGTGACAAACTACTTGTGGTTCGGGGATGAGCAGAATAGTCACATTTTCCCCAGATTTACGGTATCTGTCATGGAATAAAGGTCATAGGGTTGCGATATCCATAGTATCAAACCTAACGGTTTACAGCTCTCAATCTTTACACGTTTAATATGCATGGAGAAAGGTCCTTTACTTACTTACTTTACTATTAACAATCGTTATATGTCCAGTACGCATGAATGCATGGAAACGGGTCTTTACTCACTTACCCACTTTACTATTTTAATATGTCCATATGCATACACCACTGGGGTTTCTCCGGTGCAACCCAGAATGACCCGCATAGCTGTGTTCTGCATGCGCTCTAGTTTGTCCATCTGACTCTTTGAGTCGGTAAGCAGTCCCAGACCATAATCAACAACTACCAAGATCAGGTGCTGATATAGTGTGAAAAGCATTCTCTGCTGTGTCAATTGCAGCCATAGTCTTAAGTGCACTAAGTTCTTTTTAGCATCGTGTCACAATACTCTCCACATGGTCCTTAAAGGACAAGCTCCTGTCAAATGTAATTCCACGATACTTTGTTGACGTTTCTACCATCTATCGTGAGACTTGGGATATTATCTCTAACGATCCTGTTGTCTAGAGAACACCACAAAACAGGCATTTTTTTTCCCTATGGACGGCAGCCCTTATTTCTGTACACCACTCAGTCACTTTGTTTATGTCGCTTGTAGCTTCCGGGCTGTTTGTTACCTCTTTTCTCTCTGCCTATATTATGCAAAAGTCACCTGAACAGTCAGACTTGTGTAGGGTCATAATCACATGAGCCGGAAATGCAGTGGTGTGTCACGTGCGGATATGCACTCTAAAACACGTCGATACTGTCGGAGCAAATAGGACGTCAAAACAATACGTAATGTTGTTAGGGAATTTTAATCTAGTAGATTCGGAGGATAAAGTTTGAAGGAGACAGACGTGTGGTCGTGTCTCCGTGGATCCCTGAGGAAGTTCTACCCCGGGATTCCACGTAGAAACCTCAGCCGAGAGCTGGTGCATTGATTCTTGCGCTCGGCAGGAAACCGGAATATTTATAACTAATGGATCTCTCAGCCGAATTACCAAGGAGGGACATTGCCTTGTTATCTAGTATCCGACTGCAGAAGAGGAGATCGAAGTGCCGCCCAGATTCTCAAGGTCGAACTGTTGAGCCGTGAGGAGTTGTCTGAAGGTGTCATTTGAATTTCTCTAGACGAGTGTGCGTACGATAGCGAGTTTTGACGTGTTTGGGTGAGTCTTCACCATTTATCAGGTTATTTGCCCATTTTCTCATATTGGATCAAAGCGTTTGTCAATACACCATTTGAATACCCTGGCATCGGGCGGGGGGGGGGGCTAAGAGGGGGGGGGGCGCACGTTTCCTGGTGAAAACTCAGCAATTAATTCAAGATAATGCTCGCAGAGAGGAAATGATCATTTACACAGACGGTTTAGTGTCAAGAGGCAAAAGAAATGCTTGGGGTTTCTTAGCAAAAGTTAATGGTCGACATTTGGTACAGAAGAGCCTAGTATATGATACCACATCCAGCTTAAGAATGGAGGTGGAGGCGGTCACTGCAGCTTTCCGCTGGTTAGAGAACATGACACACACACACACATCGTAATTGTAACTAACTCAGAAAGCATGCTGAGGAAGATTAGGACAGGCATGCTTTGTGCAGAGTGGCATGCGTCACTGTGGAGAACACGGGTGAAAAGTATTGTCTGGATTTTTTTCACCGGAAAACGCCGGTGTGTTGGGAAATGAACAGGCAGACAGGTTGGCTGGTTCTGCACAACTTGGTGGAATACTGATGCATGATAAGGCAGACGTGGTTAGTGCATTGTGGGAGAGTGTGTACAGTTCGGTGGAGCAGATGGATCGCCACAGTCTGGTAAAATTTATGCAGGAGGGAGTGACGAGAGATTCTAGCAGTCGAGGCTCAGGGGAAAGGCAAGACGGACGTTAAATCAGAATGCAAATGGCACCATTAGTATCGGAACTTTTCGCTGGTTGCTGAAGATGGGGATGGAGTGCTTATGAGAATGCTCCGAGTGTTGTGATGTCGGTTCTTACAAAAATTCAACACAATATGTCCAATATACATAAAGGTATAGAAAAGGGGTCCTTTACTTACTCACTTCTTTAATACAATCTTTATATGTCTAATACGCATGCATGTATGGATAAGGGACCTTTATATACTTTACTATTAATAATTTTAATATGTCCAATATGCATGAAAAAAGGTCCTTTACTCACCTAATTTACTATTAACAATCTTTATGTGTCCAATATGTATAAAGGTGTGAAAAAGGTTTCTTTGCTCAATTAACCGAGGAGCGGCTGGCCGAACAGTTAGAACCCTGGGCTCTCAAGCTGAAGACCCAGGTTCGAATGTTGGGGAAGGCTGGTGATTTTTTTTGTCGGAAGCAATAACAACAAAAATCCTCACCTGCACAGTCAAGGCGACAGCACTAGCCATGCGGCTGTAAATCCATAGTTTCAAATACCCCCCTCCTCTTTTCCTACACAGCAAAAGTGGTAAAATAAAGGCAGTAATTGGCTTGGGGGGGGGGGGGAAGGAAGAGGGGGGGGGGCTTAATTATTTAATGTTAACAGTCCTAATGTCTTAATATGTCCAATATGCAATGACAAAGGGTTCTTTACTCACTGAATTCTCTATTAACAATCTTTATATGTCCAGTTTGTATGTAGGCACGGAACAGGGTCCTTTACTTACTTTTCTATTAACAATCTTTATATGTCCAGTTTGCATGTGGGCACGGAACAGAGTCCTTTACTTACTTACTTAACTATTAACAATCTTTATATGTCCAGTTTGTATGTAGACATGGAACAGGGTCCTTTACTTACTTACTTTACTATTAACAATCTTTATGTGTCCAGTTTGTATGTAGGCATGGAACAGGGTCCTTTACTTACTTACTTTACTATTAACAATCTTTATGTGTCCAGTTTGTATGTAGGCATGGAACAGGGTCCTTTACTTACTTACTTTACTATTAACAATCTTTATGTGTCCAGTTTGTATGTAGGCACGGAACAGGGTCCTTTACTTACTTACTTTACTATTAACAATCTTTATGTGTCCAGTTTGTATGTAGGCACGGAACAGGGTCCTTTACTTACTTACTTTACTATTAACAATCTTTATGAGTCCAGTTTGTATGTAGGCATGGAACAGGGTCCTTTACTTACTGACTTTACTATTAACAATCTTTATGTGTCCAGTATGCATGTAACAGGGTCCTTTACTTACTTACTTTACTATTAACAATCTTTATGTGTCCAGTATGCATGTAACAGGGTTCTTTACTTACTTACTTTACTAACTATTAACAATCTTTATGTGTCCAGTTTGTATGTAGGCATGGAACAGGGTCCTCTACTTACTTACTTACTTTACTATTAACAATCTTTATGTGTCCAGTTTGCATGTAGGCACAGAACAGGGTCCTTTACTTACTTAACTATTTACAATCTTTGTGTGTCCAGTTTGTATGTAGGCACGGAACAGGGTCCTTTACTTACTTACTTAACTATTAACAATCTTTGTGTCCAGTTTGTATGTAGGCACGGAACAGGGTCCTTTACTTACTTACTTAACTATTAACAATCTTTGTGTCCAGTTTGTATGTAGGCATGGAACAGGGTCCTTTACTTACTTACTTACTTAACTATTAACAATCTTTGTGTCCAGTTTGTATGTAGGCACGGAACAGGGTCCTTTACTTACTTACTTAACTATTTACAATCTTTATGTGTCCAGTTTGCATAAATGCACGGAACAGGGTCCTTTACTTACTTGCTACTTTACAATTAACAATCTTAATATGTCAGATATTTATGATTGATTTGATTCAAGAACCGACATCACAGCACTCGGGGCATTCCCATAAGCGCATCGTCCCCATCTTCAGCAGCCAGCGAAGAGTTCCGATACTAATGGTGCCAGTAGCTTTCTGATTAAACGTCCGCCTTTCCTTTCCTCTGAGCCTCGAGCATCTGCCAAAACCTCTCGTCACCTCCAACTGCATCAACCTCAGCAGACTGTGGTGATCAATATGCATTAAGGCATGGATAAGGGTTGTTTGTTACTCACTTAATTTAGGATTAACAGTTCTCTAATTATTTAATCAGTAAAGACACACATTTGCACAAATGTTTTAATATTTGTTTATTTTGATTCAACAGATAGCAGAAAATGGGTGAGTACTAAATACAGTAAGAATTTACCGCCTGCACATTCACAATTTGTGAATTTTTAAACGTGTAATCATGTGACTTCTTTTGCATTTTGTTTTTAAATGTTTATACACTTCACAGTGGGCATTTCCGGTCTCAGGATTCATACTCTTATTTTCTTATCATCATCATATTTTCTTGTGCCATTGATATGTCACATAGGAATTGCAGTCTTTTCCTCCATTTCATTTTATCTTGTGAAATTGTTTCTGGAACATTAACTCTTTGAGTCCCAAGGAACGCATCATACGTTCATAGATTACTACCTAGAGGCCCAATGAACGTATGATGCACCGATTTTACGTCTCTTTTGACTACCCCTTGGGCCTGTGATGCTAAACTCCCTGGAACTCAAAGAGTTAAGCGTCTCTTATCAATGTTTGTCTTTTGGTACAGAAAAAAGATTTAAACTGCGTTTAGATGTTTCTGAGCATGTCTGCTTTTTGTTCGCATCTCATATGTATGTAGCAGTGCAGGTATTATATAGCATTGTAACACTTTTTTCAACTATATTTGACATATTGCATTGGTTAATATGTTTTCCCATCTTGTGCAGTACCATTCTTGCTAGAGAAATTCATCTTCTTACATCTACAAGGCAACTTGCAAAAGATTTTATGATTTTTTTCCAAAATATTTGTGTAAGTTCACTTGTTTAAGAATGTTGTCATTTACTTAAATAAAACATTATCCTGTTAGACTCTATTCATAGAAATTAGACACCATAATGTCCCATTATTTACAGTGATAACTAGAAAGCGTTAAAAGCAAATTATAATTCTGGTATAGAGGAGGGATCTGCTCAGAAACTTTATACTCAGCAATATGACATCATTGATCTTACTGGGAGCAGTCTTTGGCATTGTAATGGTTCAAAGATCTCAGCAATTTTCAGTTTGTTTCATGCATGAGGGTCAAGTTGTAATGTACTCAGCAGTCATCTGGGTTGGTGGCTGAGATATGAATTCTTCAATCAGACGGTTGACTTCTGCTGGTGCTTCTATCATTACCATATGGCCAGCATCTTCTATCACTTCAAGTCGTGAATTGTGTATCACCTAATAAAAAACACACAAAAAGAAACAAATTACATTTAACAAATGTTACAATAATGTTCCCTAAAACATCAAACAAATAGTCATGTAAATTGTTCACATTTTTTTGTCATTGTAACTTCCCTACAGGATCTAATATAGTGCAGCGAGCAATATACTAGCTTGGCAGTCAGTAGTTAAAATATTTTTCAAGATAAGGATGTTTAAAATGACTCACTGATTTAAATTGTTGCAAGCCATTTTCTTAAAACTAAAAATTCTGTGCCATGCAACTCACTAAACGGCTATCCTCCGACTAACGGTCGGTAAAGATAGCGGTTGCAAAATATCCGCTCGAGCCACAGTCACATGTCAATTGCACACTTCCGGCTACTTAATTTGCGGTTTTCCGCCAACAACCGCTACTGCCGCGTAACCCCCACGCCGCATCTCCTGCAGCTTTGCTCCTAGCCATCTAGTTTAGCCCCAATCCACGCCGTGTGAGCGATAGTCGCCGGAAAACCGCAAATAAGTAGCCGGAAGTGCGCAATTGACATGTGACTGCGGCTGTAGAGGATATTTTGCGGCCGCCATCTTTACCGACAGTTAATCGGAGGATAGCCCACTAAACATATGTGGGCTCCTTGGTACATGGTATTTGTTTATGAATTCTTTCAAGCAGTTATTTTCTTTAAACATACAATATCATCTTCTCAGTAAATTGAATCTACACCTATTTCCTGTTCATGTTTATGGTGCCGCATTAGGCATCTCCAAGTAATCTGTATTGTTGCTGGTCTGCTGCTTTTCAGCACACTGTATTCCTTGTCATTTACTTCTTCACTTCTGTTCCTACCATCTTTCTCTATGATAATTTTAAATTCTTATTAGGAATCACAGAAAGTGACATCAGGTTTTGGAGCTGATATTTTAAAGTTTTCATGAAAAGTACCTGAATGTTTTGTTTCATTGTGTCCACATTATGCTTTTTTAAATATCCCCCCCCCCCCCCATAACAACTTCAATGTTAACACAATGTGCGGAGTAATTAAACCTTAAATCTTAACAGTGATTTATAGCTTACTCTGATTTACCCATGTACCAAATTCTCACGTCCTTCAAGAGTTGAATATATGTTACTGTCTAGGACTAACCTTGGCCATGTCTTTCTCCTCTTGCAGAGAAACAAGCTGGTCATAAGCACCATAAATAAGTAAAGAAGGGCAGGTAATCCATTCATGGTATACTTCATCTCCATCTGGCCAGTCCTGTCCATTCATTGTGTACTGCAGAACATAAGCTGGTATATTGAAAGCTACTTCCTTTGGAACAACTGGACTCTGCTTACTGTAAAATGCACTCCTAGTAATGCACATTTATGAAAAGTTAACAAACTCTTGCATGTTAATACTAAAAAACAAAATCTTACCTAATAGAAGTAAACTACGTTAAAAATTTCAACCTGTGTTATCAAAACTAAACAATAATTTACTGGTTTATAAACGAAAAGCTAATAAATAATAGCCATCGGTTGCTTGATGAAAAAAATAATAACATAATTATTTTAATTAACAAACAACCAACTTATTTTCAGAGAGTTAAGAAAATATTTAAAGAAAGAAAATAAAAAGAAGAAAGGCAGAAAAAAGTAGGACTTAAAAGAAAATTATGTGAATAACAGCAGATAAAACTCGTTATGTATGCATCTTGTTTTGACAGGAATCATTTGTGAGGAAGACACTGTTACATGTTGGTAGACAGTATCAAGAAATGGATTAGAGGAAATGTGAGTGCATAGTGAAAACGCAGGATGTTAGGTGCTGAAAAAAGTTACCTCAGTCAATCTATTGTGCATATTTGTCTCTGTGTGTCTGTGTGTGTGTGTATGCCGGTTTGTGTGTGTGTGTGTGTGTGTCGCATGTGTGTGTCTGTGTGTGTGTATCTGCGTGTGTGATTGGGTATGTGCGCGTATGTCTGTTTGTTTCTACAAGTGTGTCTGTGTGTGTATGTATGTTTGTATGTGTGTGGAATGTGCGTGTTTGTGTGGGTATGTAGGTATGCATGTGAGTGAATGTGATGTGTTTATGTGTGTGTGAAAGTATGTGGGTATGTTTAAGTGAGTGGGTGGGTGTGGGTGTGCATGCATTTTACCACCTATGCTTTTGTTTTTTGTGGTTTTTTTTCTCTATTTTGAAAATCATAATATGCATATTATCATATGAATATAACATGTTTATTGATAAAATACAGATGCAGTGTGAAAGACGGGTGTTTGGAAGGGCCGTATGTAAGACGGGCCTGCATGCCCAATTTGTGACAATTTGAAAATAAAGTTTGTTTGTTAGTTTGTTCTTATTGTATGTAGAGAATTTAGCACCTGATTGTATGAATACTGGTGACTTTAAAATTGTGCATATTTCAGATTTATGTATTAAGTTTTTGTAAAAAATTTCAAAATCTCTCCAGACTGAATTATTTTGAGGTTTTAGAACAATGGATCAAAATAATTGCACACGGGTAGTAACTCATTAGTGCTTCGTTCTTCTAACTCAAGTCTAAGTCCCAAAAAGCTCATCACTGTGTACAGGCTCTGTAGCACCAGCGAGGATCTTGAAATACTTAAGGTAAATTTTGAGTCCGAATTTTGCCTGGGCAGCTCCGTTAGGCTACTCTTTTCTATTTCCAACTGCCAAGGAATTTTTTTACGTTTGCAACCATTCACACGGGCATCTTATCTCACTACCCAGAGACCAGGGGGAATTTCTAGAAGAAAAAGTCAGAGTGAAAAAATGCCAGCCCTTACTGGGCATTAAGATTCCCAAAAAACGCATCATACGTTCATAGGTTCCTACCTACAAGCCCAATGAATGCATGATGTGCCGATTACATGTTTTTTTGACTACCCTTGGGCCTGTGATGCTAAACCCCCTGAGACTCAAAGAGTTAAACCTGAAACCTCTAGCACTCGAGGCGTACACCATGCCTCAAGACCACGAAGCACCCCTCCCCCAGATTGTATTAAACATACATAAATGGGTGTGGGGGGGGGGGAGGGGTCGGGGAGGGAGGGGTGGGGAAATGGAGGACATGTGACTGTGAAATAAATAACTTACTTGTAAAATCTACAGAGCAGGCATGGCTTGATGCAAGCTAATAGACAATATGGCAAGGAAAACACACCAGGCTGAGGCATCAATGGGGTGGGAGGACCACCACTTATGAGAATCAGCCTAATGACTCGCCGGGGTCGCTTTCGAGCCAAATATGTGGCAAATGAAGCACTGAAGAAATCAAAATTTAGAATCATCATCTGCAAAATGTTTTCCTCCTTTCATACTCTATGTGTTATCTAAAAGCTGATAAATCATTTATCTAGGTCAGTATCAGTAAATAATTTCTGCAAGTCTTTCTGTAGTTAGAAGTTCAACTGTAAAACAAAAACCAGTTTAAGGCGTTAAGGAGTTCAAAAAAAAATTATGATTTATATATTTTTCTATGATAGTATAAATGATAGAATAAAGTGAAAAATAGTAGTCTTTACTTAGACTAACTAATGAGCACATGGTGAATAGCTTGTATTAAAAGAAGTAAAACAGTCACACAAACAAAGCTAATACAAATGAAAAACAGTTTCTACAATACTGCCAGAACGAGAACTGTGGCAGCATAGTACCTAGCGTAAGAAGTTCTAAATACAACATAAAATGTGAATAGTTAGCTCAACAGAGGGAACAGAAAAAGTCCACACAAATACACTAAATGTTTCAACCAAAGTCTTTAACAACAGAGTACTAAATACAACACACAATGTAACCGAAAAACTCAGGAGACAAGATAACAAAGTTTGCAAACAACCAACATCAACATGATACCATGAAAAAACTTGTTGTAACTAGCATGCCTGCCTACTAAATGATCATGTGTTTGTATAATCCCTGAAGCGTGGACTGTTTACAGTGATCCAATGATCCTAGCTCCCGGGTCAACCCAGTTGGAAATGAGAACCTGGCAATTTTCTTGCAAATTAAGGATGGCCAGCATGTTTTTGATTAAATTAACAATTTAGCCTAAAAATATGGGATTAGCACCATATATCCAATATGCCTCATGGTTGAGAATGATTTCTAAAAATGACTGCCAGAAAAAAAAATGTGTTCTAGTTATATACAGTAGTTTGCACCATCATGTAGTCACCATTTCAATTTACAATTTTTTTTTTAAATTAGGCCTGTATTCACCATTTTTTTAAAAGTGTAGCTGGGGGAGGGAACTTTCAAGCTTAGCTGGGGGTGGGGGTCTCTGAGCTTGTGGGTTCAAGGTCACATGGCAAGTGCTGTTCCCATGAACTGCACAGGTAAGGATTCTATTTTTACCCTGGGAGAAAAAAATCACACATAACCTTAGAGAGGATTTGAACCCAACTGTGTGATTAGTGTTTGTTTTAAGCACTGCTACATAAATCAAATCCTAGAACATCATGGATTATTTTGTGAAACAATTTCATCAACATTTAAGCCACAGAACTATACATTTTCTACATTTGGTATTCACCCTTTTTTGTCCCAACCAATCCAGTGTGTTAAAGTTCTTAACCATATTTATCTCTATTTTGTTCATATTCGGTCTGTGTTTGCTAAAGAAATATGGCTAAATATTTTACTATTCAGCACAAGGTATGTTGTGTCTTTAAAGTGACATACTGATACTTTAATGCTGTGATTATTGTGCCTGATTTGGCTTCTGCTGTGAAATCATCTATGACTGAAAGAGTTAAATGTTAAAGTTTGCAGACATATTAAAATGTGTAATAACGTTTAAAAAAAAAACAATTACCCATATGAATGTCCTATCAAAACATTCTTTCTCTTGCAGTATCTGTCAAACAGCTCTTCAACGTCTGCTGCAATTTCTTTAAAATGGTATGCCTTGGCATCCCTTACAGTGCAGCTAAAACCATGACCAATCAAATCAGGTGCCACAATCTCATAGCCTTGATCTGAGAAGTACTTCATCTGTGCAAGCCAAATATCTGATGATCCTCCTACCCCATGAATAAAAAATATAACAATGTCCTTTGTGGCAGTAGTACCCTTATTACCAGTCTGCTCATAAGAACTATGATACACAGATGCCTGAGCTGCATTGTTTTCTGACAAAGGTAAAGAATGCTGCAGTTCCAAAGTGTCATCATGGTAATTGTTACTACCATGATATCTTCCAGGTATTGTAAAAAACCCCGAAGAAGGCATTCCTGTGTTTTTATACTGCTTGAACATCAGCATCTCATTTTCGAACTGCTGATCTCGAGGATGAGGATTTAAGTGTTGAATCCTTAAGTGTCGAGATGGACGAACTTCGATTGTGTGATTTTTTTCTGAAGGACCAATACGTCTCCTTCTCATGTATGGCAGGATGTTACATGAATAGGTCATGACATAGAGTGATGCATCTGAGAAAAGAGGGAATACAAAATGTATAAATATAATACAAATTTTATATATATGTGTGTGTGTGTGTATGTGTATAAAGTAAAAGTAAAGCACCCTTTTAAGACCATTAGCGTATGAATCATATGGTTACAGATATCTTTTTTATGAACCAGTCAGCACAAAATATGAGATATGGTCAACACCACATCAAAGGAATGCCAGTTTTTGGTACAAATTCTAGCAGAACAAAAGTAATGAGCCCTTTTTAACACCACTGTCTGTATTGGGTGTTTATTGCTAGCCTTGTATTTTATTGACCAGTCTGCCTTTGGTGTGTGTTGCAGTCAACATCATGATTACCTGCTTGTTACTATTTATGCCCAATGTGCAGTGATCTCGATTGTGATAACATACCTTAATTTTTTTTTAAATTTATATCTAAGAATATTATTTTAATATGAACTTAACTCTTTGAGTCCCAAGGAATGCATCATAAGTTCATAGGTTTCCGCCTAGAGGCCCAATGAACGCAAGATGCACCGATTTTACATCTCTTTTGACTACCCATTAAGCCTCTGATGCTAAACCCCTGAGACTCAAAGAGTTAACTTCACTGAATAATATATTACAACGAGTATAGATCGAGTGGAAGACCTCGGAAAATATGGAGTGATGACATTACAAAAATGAACATCAATCTAAATCGTGCTCTGATAGAGCTCATCAACGAATGTTACATCTTCTCCTGACACTTCACTGAGGTACAAAGTCGAAGAAAGGAAGAAGAAGTATAATATATTATATTAAATTATTATTCTTCTCTTCTTGTCTCACTACAGTCCAGTGACAAGGTTTTCTGCGCTTCTTGGATGGCTTCGGTGATAGATTTGTTCATCATTTGGCAGGTTTCAGCTATTTAATATTTATCCATATCTTTCTTGGTCTTCCCCTTGTCTTACTCCCAGATGTACTGCTGTAAAAAAAGTCTCATATGCAGTTTGGTCTGGCTGCATTCTCACTACATGGTTGAACCATTCTATTCTTTGTAATAATCCATAGCTGGTCTTATTCCAGCTTTCTCACTAATGCTGGTATTCGTAACACTGTCCCTTCTGGTAGGTAGTTATACCTCACCAGGATATCACACAAGTAATAAAACACCCAGTGTCACAAAGTGCCATCATGCGGGTACTCCTGTCAAATCCGGACGAAGAATAAAAAGCCTTGGACGACTTAGTCAGAGTTATCTCCCTTGGGCGCACTGCGAACAGTGATCGGAAAAGCCACAACGAAACAAACGACACAAGCAACATGGCAGTTAGACGCACTCACATAACTAACATCGTTATTCCGACGCACGACTTAGTTGCCACGGACGTAACTCCTGCAGACCTGTATGCCATAATGACAGATAAGTATGCGTGGTTGCGGTGGCTAGCTGAGCATAGTCTGATAAGGAACACGCAACCGTGGTCCTCGTGCACGCGGCCAATGTTCCTATGTCCCCGGCAAGACTGTAGCGACAGATACGGTTGGCGATGTTATCGCTGTGGCACCAGCCGCACACTATTGGCGTCATATTTAGCAGAATTCCAGTGGCGCCACGCCCACAAACATCAGATTGTCGGCCACTATTTCCAAACCCTACGTCAAAATTTTAACATCTAACCCTAACCCTAACCTTAACCCTACCCCTAACCCTAACCCCACCCCTAACCCTAACCCTACCCCTAACCCTAACCCTACCCCTAACCCTAACCCTACCCCTAACTCTAACCCAACAACCGCATGATGATGACTACACAACCATTCACAATGCCTCACGAAACCGTACGCAGCCCTACACGCAACCGCAGGATGATAGGTAAGTGTGTCGTTTATTTCGTTTGTTTTCCGATTACTGTTCGGAGTGCGGCCAAGGGAAAGAACTCTGACTAACTCGTCCACGGCTGTTTATTCTTCGTCCGGATTTGACAGGAGAGCCAGCCATATTTATGGCAAGGCTATATTAAGGGGCCCCCTGAAAAAAGCCAGGGTGGGGCTTCAATATAACAAAACATTGCATCCCACAAGGGGACGACTTACGAATGATTGTCTCTTCTAGGGTTGTCAGTGACCTTACGGAGACTTAGAAATCGCATTTATATTTATAATATTAATTCATTAAATTAAAAAATACTTTTGAAAACTAATGTTAACAGTTAAAGTTAACGAGTTAACAACAAAAAGTACAGAAAAGTATTAACAAATAATTAATGCGAGTCTTATATTTAAAATACATCATAAGGTGCTGATATATGTTGCAACTTTATGTTGCATAACCACAGGCTAAACAGTGGTATTGTTTTGTTCCCATAAATATTGTTTTATATTGCCATTTCCGACTAACATGTCATCGAACAGGTTGTTTACTTATCTCCTGGTAACAACAAAATGGCGTTTTCCGGGTTTCCGCCAGAATTCATACTTGAGCCAAATTCATATAAAGTAGCCTAATTTAAATTAAGCCTGTATCTTCGATATTTTTGTGAAAACATCACAATTACATTTGCTATTTTCTGGGTGTGACCAAAGGGTTCTGCTGCCACACTACGCTCAGAAGAAAGGCAAGACGGACATACAACCAGACTACATTAGTTTTGGAACTCTGCTCTGGCTGCTAAGGATGGGGATGGAGAGAGTATGGGAATGCCCTGAGTACTGCAAAGATCTGGAATACAAAGGTCATTATGAAAAAACTAGATATGAAAATAGGATTGCTGAAGAGGTAAAAGAGAAAGCCCACACACGTGAAATATTTTAGACATTTTAACAGAATAAGACTCATATATATATAAAAAAAAAAAAAAAAACCCTGAAAGGAAAAGTCAAAAACAGGATAGAAAGAGGTATAGCTCAATACTATTGGAAGGATAACATTAAAAGAAGATCGAACAGCAGTTTGAGTGAGTGTTAATCCAGAGCGACAGAGTGTGTTAGAAATCGATTGCAGCCAACCGTCATTGTAAAGAAGGCACGTGAATGATTTAACTATCTTGAAAGATTCAGCCACCTTAAGTTTTTAACCAGGTGGATGTTCCACAATAAGCTTAACTCTTTAATTACCGAACAAAGCAGCGAATGTTTACAAATTATTGTATACACGAACTGCCTCTAAATTTCAGCTGGCCAAAGAGGCATGTAGATTTTTCTCAGAGACCTCAGTCGAGCGATATTATGTAGTCTTGTTTGTAATTGTAAAAGTGTCTTTTCATGTCATTTCCAAATCGATCAACAAGGTTGGAGGGTTTTGTTGGATTGAGAGTTATGGCTGCCATGTGTGGCCAACAAAAGGTGCTAGTCATCATCCTTCAGGGTTTGATCCTCTCTGTCATAGAATATAAACTGGAAATTCTCAGTATCAACAAGACACACATCAACATACTTGAAAAGGTACAAAATGAAGCAATGCACATTATACTTAGCTGCATCAAAGAAACATCACGTACAGCAATGAGATACCTACTAGCAGGCTCGAAATGCGCCAAGCGTGAGCCTACTTCAAAATCACAGACACCCTTACACACCCACTGCACGATGAACTGAATCTATGTAAAGCAACAGACTTAAACGAGGCCAGTCTTGGTTGGACTGGGCAGAGACAGTACTTCGACAGGTGATTTCCTTTAAAGACATAAACTGTAAAGAGGAATAGAACCTATATCAAATGAACACAATTAATACTTTTTAGTAGTTCTCACTCTGACAAGACAGTGCCGTGATTTGGCGCCATCAGTAGTTGATGCAGAAGTGAAAGGAATGGTAGAGGAATACACATTGTTTGAAGATACTGTTACATGTACAACTGGTTCTGTGATTCGTCAGAAGCGAGGTGCATGAGCTTTCACGGCAAGAACAAATGGGAAAGTCATCACAGAACACAGTCAAGCGTTTGCTTCTACCAGCAGCATGACAGTGGGGGTCATGGGTGTGACAAAGGCTCTAGAATGGCTGAAAACTCAGGAATTCACCAATGCATGTTTGCTCAACAACTCAGTGAGCAAAATACAGAAGATCAAGGCGAGGTACATACGGAAACAGTGACTCTTATTCTTCTTCTGCTTTCGACATCAGTCATGCTAAACATTAAGTCCCGTCTGGGTCATAAATAGGATTGTGCGTTTAAGGTCGCCACCGGTCCCCCATAGCTTCTCTTGCAATGTGGCTCCCTAGGGCCAGATCCACAGTCTTTGCTGGGAGAGGTAAGGGCAGTACTGTAGTATGTGTCCAGGGGTCTGTCTTTCTGCTCCACAATCACAGGCAGCAGATTCTTTTATGCCTATCCTGTACAGGTGTGCTCGAAGACCACAGTGTCCAGTCCGAAGTCTAAAAATTGATGTTTCTTCTTTCCTGTTGAGTTTGTTTATGCTATCACTATCTGGTCTGTAATCTCCATTCTGCCTTCTCCACTCCAGCTTGAAAGACTGCTTTAGCGCTGTTTTAGTTTCCTTGTAGCTGTGTGGTGGATGAGGTTCTGGAAGATTACTCCCGGCTTTTGCCAAGTCATCTGCTCTGTCATTTCCTTGAATAATACAGTGGGCTGGTATCCACTGCAAGACAAGTTTTGCTTCCTTGGAGAGTAAGCCAATGTTGGTCCTTAGATCTGCAATTAGTTTGCCCTGGTTTTTTTGCTTGATAGTGCTTGGAAAACAGACAATGAGTCACAACAGTGACTCAATTTAATACAGCCCTCAGCGTTTCTCAAAATCACTATTATTATTTTTTTTTATTTGTCCAAGGGTATGCTTGTGTGAAAAGCAATGAGAGAGCAGATGCTCTGGCTGGCAGTGCAACTATCAGGTATAGGTCAACTATGGATAAAAGAGATACAATCAGTGCCATACGAAAGACTAAATACTGTGAGGCTTTCAGTTTCGTTTCAAATTATTTCTTCCTGAATAGACTGCATACCCAGGGTGTCACAACTGGAGCTTATAGTCAGGAAACCCATGCGGGAGCCACAC